CTGCGTGGGAACGCAGATGTGCTCATTCTCCGTCTCTTCCTGCAGCTGGTCGGAGGTGTGGGGCGAGCAGGGCTACATCCGCCTGCTGAAAGGAGTGGACAATCACTGCGGGGTGGCCAACCAGGCCAGCTTTCCTGTCCTGTGAGCGCTGCAGCCCCCCCGGTACTTCCTGGGCCGGGGGCTGCAATAGTCCTCCCCGCACCTCGGCGTTCACCCGGGAGCGTTTCTGGCCGTCTCCCTCCCTTCGCCGCTGGGGCAGGGTGCTCTCTCGTTGGAAGGGGCTTTTCCTGCATGGCTAATTGCTCCGCGCGCCTGCAAACTGAGCAGAGCGCAGCACGGTGGCTGCAGCGTTGCTAATATAGCTATTGCTTTTCCTGGTGCGAAAGGCGCTTGCCTTTGACGCGATGCTCTGTGAGCTTTCTCCGCACCTTTCTGCCAAGCTTGGCAGTCCTTTTCCCCTCCTGCAGACCAGCAGCCCCTTTTCCATCCAGCTGAATCCCAGCAGCAGGAAGGCTGGATTTTCTGGCCGTGATTGTGGCTCTCCGCCGCTTCTGCCTGAGCTGAACACGTGGCCCCACAGGGGCTGTGCACACACCCTCAGTGAGCTGAGTTCTTGCAAAAATAGGTCTTTACCAAATTAAACCTGTATAACAAGCAAAAAGTGGGAGAATGCAATGCCAATGGAGTCCAGAAGTCATGTGCGGAGGGGCAAAGCAGTTTCTCTGGTGTAAAACCTCTCTGGTTTATCCTTAAAAACTCTCCTGAGTTATTGAAGTGCATGCTTCTTCCCCCTTCCACCTCCTCCAACCCCTTTCCAATTTCCCAACACCGTCTAGAGCTTCTATAAGGCTATTTTGGCAATTTGCCTTCCAGCACAGCACCAGACCCGCCTGGTGTCCTTCATGCCGAAGCCCTGGAGGTTCACAGGAGCTGGTCCGTGTCCTCGGCTCCGTTCCCTCCTCTCCCCAGATTCCCCAGTATCCCGTGAATCAAGTGTTTTGATAGCAGGCTAGGGACTATTTGGATGATTGATTTTGGTGCTTAAAGGCTGAGCTGCTCAGCCTTGGGGAGCAGCCAGACCTCGCAGGAGCTGCCCAGGCAGGAGCCCCAGCCCCTGGAAAAAGCAATCTAGTGAATCTTGTCCCCTAAACCTGCTTTTTCTCCCCCTTGAACGATCTGGGGGATTCAGCACATGGAGCCCAAGAGGGCGCAGGGGTGCAAGGCCAGGGCTAGAGGGGCCTCCTGAACATCCCTGCCCGTGGCGCTGCAGGGACGTGGGGCATCACCCATAGCACCCATGCCATCACAGCCTGTGTTGTGGCGCCAGAGGCCACTGTCCTTGTGTCCCTTGTCCCCATGGCCTCATGGACCCACGTCCCCTTGCCCCAATGGCCCGCTGTCCTTGTGGCTCCTTGTCCCAATAGTCCCTTGTCCCGTGGCTGCCTGTCCCCCATGGCCCCTTGTTCCCCTGCGTCCCCAAGGCCCCCTTTCCTCACGGTCCCTTGACCCCATTGGCCCCCTGTTCCCAGTGCCACTTGTCCCCCCATTCCCATGACCCCCTATCCCTAAGACCCCTTGTCCCCATGGTCCCTTGTCCCATGGTCCTCTGTCCCCAAGGCGCCTTGTCCCCTCGTCCTCAATGCCCAATGGACCCTTGCCTCAGTGTTCCCCTGTCCCCACGACCCCTTGTACGCCCGTCTCCAAGGCCCCCTGTCCCCATGGGCCCCCCGCCCCCATGGCC